ACCTGGAGTAAATCCACAAGCTACCCTGCAGTATACAAAGTCATTCAAACTAGCTGCACCTTTACCAGCTTTGAGAACACTTTAATGATCAATCATTATAAAACATATCATATCTATTATTCTGAAATGGACCAATCTGCACAATGACTACTTTTACTGTCGCTACTTTCACTATATTTTGATGATAATACTTTTCTACTTTTACTTGAGGAACATTTTGACTGCAGGAATTTTACTGAAACAGAGTATTCCTAGACTCTGGTACTTCTACTTTTACTCAAGTACAAGATCTGAGTACTTCTACTTTTACCCAAGTACAAGACCTGAGTACTTCTACTTTTACCCAAGTACAAGACCTGAGTACTTATACTTTTACTCAAGTCCAAGACCTGAGTACTTCTACTTTTACTCAAGTACAAGATCTGAGTACTTCTACTTTTACTCAAGTACAAGATCTGAGTACTTCTACTTTTACTCAAGTTCAAGACCTGAGTACTTCTACTTTTACTCAAGTACAAGACCTGAGTACTTCTACTTTTACTCAAGTACAAGATCTGAGTACTTCTACTTTTACTCAAGTTCAAGATCTGAGTACTTCTACTTTAACTCAAGTTCAAGATTTGAGTACTTCTACTTTTACTCAAGAACAAGATCTGAGTACTTCTACTTTTACTCAAGAACAAGATCTGAGTACTTCTACTTTTACAAGATCTGAGTACTTCTACTTTTACTCAAGAACAAGATCTGAGTACTTCTACTTGGTGTTAACAAATGAAGATGATATAACAATGAACACAGGCTGCCACAGCATGGTGGCTCCTCCCACTTTACCTTGACTTTGTGAGGTTCGATGAACTCTGCGTAGGCGTTGACGTAGTTGACGTTCTTGTCCCTCAGAGCCACTCTGTAGCCCCAGTTCAAGGAGCCGATGTAGTTGCTCACCGCTTCCTTCATCGTGTCCCAGTTGTGTTTCACTGAGAACACACACACACCTCCATTATTAGAATTCAGAATATTTACAAACAATAACCTTTATTCGTCCCACAGAGGGGGCATGTACATTGTTACAGCCAAAAAGAGCCAAAGACAGCTTCATGTTACCTAAGAAGCACATTATTAAAGATACAAAAAGAATCACAGTGGAGGAACTAAGCAGAATTCTGGTTGGTTGCAAGGGGATCAAATACTTATTTCCCACAGCTATATGCAAATCAATTTCTATCATATATATAATATCAATTTCTGGATTTTATTTTTGATATTCTTACTCTCACTGTTAAAATAAACCTACCGTTAAAAATATAGACTGTTCATTTCTTTGTAAGTGGGCAAACTTACAAAATCTTATTTCCTCCACTGCATATTGCACAATTAATAGAATTGAGACAATCACTACTTCTGACAAGGTTTGCCTCGACGACATTTACCGCGGCAGACCGGTCCGATGTCGCCCCTGCGTGACCTCCGGGGTCTCTGCTGCTCTGAGGCCTCACCTTTCTCGTCGATCTCCCAGCCGAACTTGCGTGCGTCCTGAATGGCGGTTCCCAACATGGCCGTCTGATGCATCAGCTTCTTGGGGATGCAGCCCACGTTCACACAGGTTCCCCCCAGACCTGAAAGACAATTGGAAATAGTCAATGGTGCTCTAGGAGGAGATTCAGGTGATAAGGTGGAGGGGGGGGGGTTACCTTGGTTGGTGATTGGCTAATGCTTACACAAGCCAACAAAACGTTATGACATCATAAAGTTGCCAAAATCTGATCAGCTCATTTTCAGACTGGTTTCATTTATTGTGTTCCTTTGTGTTGTCTCATCATTAAGTGTTAATGATGAGACAAACAAATATAATTGGAGGATGTGACCCTCTTTAACGGTCACACAGACATGCACACAGTGAAATTTGACCACAGGGCAACACGGTAGCAATACGTTGAAATAATCAATACAGAGAGTTAAAGATACTCAGCATCCCTAATCTATACAAGTGTCCTTGAAATGACGCCTCTTACCCCAGGTGGTTCCCTTTGGAGTGGGCACCACATAGTCCAGCACAATGGCCTTCTTCCCCAAGGCAGCAGCTTCCTGTGATATCACATTAAACATCATTATTTATAGGTTTCTGCAGAATGTTTGTAAGTTAAAGAGGACGTATAATGTTCATTTTCAGGTTCAAATTTGTATTTTGTGCTTCTAATGTGACATGTGTACAAGCTTTAACGTTCAACTAATGCTGCCCTTTGGGATCTTAGCCCGTGCACTACAGTAAATAACACACTAGGGGAAAGGGGAAACCCTAAAAAGCAGATCAGGGCTTCTATTTATATATTTTTTACTTATTCTATATTAGTTATTTTCTCACATTCCCCTTTACATCCATTAGTACTCCAATTTAGATTAAGTTTCTTTAACGAGGGGTCACAACATGTAGAAGGTCTCAACTCCCCAAAGATATACATGAGAATATGAAAAACAAAACATATAGGAATCAAATCAATATTAACACTGAGAACGTAAAGTTATATATATAAGGTCATCCTACATATTACAAGAATACATTCCAATACACTTAGAACACATATCCACATCAGGGCTTCTTTAACGAATCATAGAACAGTGAGTGTGAATGTGTTTAATGGAGTCACCTTAGAGCAGGCCAGGCCTCCAGACCCCCCCCCGATGACGATCAGGTCGTAGTCGTACGCTTCAGTCTCTGCACACAGGAGCTGCTGCAGGCTGCCGTCTTTATGAGCCTGACAGGAGCATCGATGAATACAGCGTTCAATCAATACAGCAGTTATTCTTTCACAGAGACTCGTATCAAGTGTAGCTGAATGGAATCAACATCTCATATTTAACAGGCATTCTCATAACAGCTGTTTTAATTATTGTCCCAGTACAAGCGGTGCTATTTCAATGACAAGTGAACAAAATAGCTGCTGACGTATTTGGTCATTGTGCCATCAAGAGCAGTCTAGAGTTGCAACGATCAATCATCAGAATAATAGACAGGAAATAATCCAGCACGCTCGTGAACTGTTCTGTTAGTTCGCCGGAGCCTCGCAGCGGGGTTCCTTGCAGCGTGCAACATGCGGCGATTCGGTTTCTCGTAAGGTCTCCCTTTCTGTTGGGTCTTTTTTTTTTTACAATTTTTTTTTTGTTTTTTTCTTGTGCGTCAGTCAACCACACCAATCAGAAGTGCTGTGCTCCACATGTACCAGCCATTGTTAACCAATCAGAAGTGCTGAGCTCCACATGTACCAGCCATTGTTAACCAATCAGAAGTGCTGTGCTCCACATGTACCAGCCATTGTTAACCAATCAGAAGTGGCCCATGATAGAAGGTGATAGACAGATTGATCCAATCACCTGCCAAGTATTTTCGAAAGTGCCTGCCCTTTCCAAATGGCTTCCAATGGAGCTCTCCTCGATGGTTTGGTGAAACCATCTGAGTCAGGTTAGTAATGCTCCATCACATGTTTCTATTACACGGTGAGTCTTAAACTGAAGCTTGACTTTAAACCCAACCGAAGTTTCATGTAAGTTTAGTTCTTTCACTCGTAGCTCGGGCTGCGGGGGTGCTAGAGACGGGAGCATGTTGATACGACCTTCCTAGCCGGAGATATGGCCGCATTTTACAATAAACTTCCGTTGGGTCGCTTAAAAACAAATATCGCAATTCCAATCGCAATATTTGTCGGAAAAAAAATCGCAATTAGATTTTTTTTTCCAAAATCGTGCAGCCCTAGCGTAGAGCCAGGGATCATTGTCAAAGTCAAAGTCAGCTTTATTGTCAAGAATTCTACATGTTGTACATCCAGAAATATCGTTTAGTTAATTGATCGTAGATGGCGTCGTGCTCGCGGACAGACACAAAAATATACTTTGGCGGCCGTTAATATAACACATAAACAAACTGTTACTGACAGCCCTAAGGAAGTCAACGGTAAAACTAAGGCCACATTAACCAGCCGACCGTAAGAAAGAGATATAATGGATAGAAATAGTAAAAAAACATGTTGGGTGCTTTTTAAAACTTAACCAGCACAGTGCCAGTTTGACAATAAGTCTCGTAAAATCAGCACATAGCGCTCCATACAACATGTTTATATAACAAAAAATAAAAACAGCACGTCTCATGTAACCGTTAGTTTCTCCAGCTCTTCCCATCATTTAACATCAATACTTCTCCTTTGTTGTCCGTCTCACACGTAAGGAGCACGATATAAGAACATATCCCAACGTTACCCTCTCAATGAAATAATGAATGAACTGAAAATGTTGTTTCTAAAAACACATTGGAATAAATCCTAGATTATAAAAAGGGGTCTTACAGGTTCAGGAAGGTGTGAGGAGGGAAAAGAGCCAATAGCCTGTGGAGGTTGAATTCAACGTCAAAGTTACTGGATGACCTGCTGTCGCTTGATTATCAGTTCTCAGTGTTATACGGTCCGCCTGCTCTCCATTTACACGTTTACGGGTAGCCCTAACGCCATAAAGCAGCTCAAACACATCCTCTCCCCGCATCAGATCACTTCAAAGCGCGTCGTCATGCAGACATTATCTCACGTTCCTAAGTATTTCCTCAAAAGGAACATCCGTTGCTTATCGTGGGCCTGTCCTCTCGTGCACTCTTTCCTTTCTGTTCCGGCTGCTGTGACAAAGATCTACTGAATGTCCTTGTGTTCCTCGGTTTGGACACGCTGCGTTTCACAAGGCATGTTTGAGCAAAAACAAGACGCTGAGATAATACTTTGTTGTCAGATCAAGTCTTCAGTATTTCTTGCATCACTGCAGCTCCATTGGCAACGTCAACAAGGAAACAGAAATCCAAAATACTATCGCAACCACTGCAGACAATAGGTTCAAGGCCCTTTAACGTACATTTGATCTGGGATTGAACTGTATTTAATTGGAGGATTGACTCTTTGCACAAAGAGTGCTTCAGTCTTACTTTATTTAATCATGAGACCCTAATAGTGGGATGAAAGCAGTGGGTTCAGCTTCAATTCGAGCCAAACAGACTTGTTTTCACGCCATTTAAATTCAAATGCTTGAGTAACATGTCCCCTAAGGAGATATGAATTTGCAGGTGTTGTATACCGGGAAGATTTGACTCTCTTTAAGACATAGGGCTGGTCAATTAAATCGTATTTTAAATCGCAATTACGATTTTAGCTTGCAACGGTTATGAAAACAAAATAATCGAAATAAACTTTTTTTTTTTTTTTTTTTTTTAATCTTTATGTTGAATTATACTTAAAGTTCAGGTTAATCAAATGATAACATACTGTTCACATTTTTTTTTCAATAAATGGATAATCGTTTTTAATAATCGTGATTTCAATTGTTGACCCAAATAAATCGAGATTATGTTTTTGCCATAATCGAGCAGCCCTATTAAGACATTTAATAAGATAACCACTCCTCACCTGCAATGTTTTGTCGCAGCCGCCCACGTGCGTCTTGTTGATGAAGACGTTGGGAACACTTTTCTGTCCGGTCATCTCGAGCAGCATATCCTGGAAGTTGGTTCCATCCTCTAAAACAGAACGGTTGAATTAGTGTTAAAAAGCAACCAAATATTGCCGTTTAAGAATGACAATCATTTAATACATCTGCTTTTCATATGACAGTGTATGAGTAATAGACACAGGATAGGCCTAAATAGCTAAAAGGGGGAAGCATGACAGAAAATGTGTCTTATAATCACAACTTCCTCTCTGTGCTGACATCTTAGCTTCTTACTACACACACAGGCTGTGATTAAACTGTTATCTACTTTTCAAAGTGTGCAAGTAGTCAGTTAAAACTATGGTTAAGTCAAGTGTGTTACAGTCAGAGTCTAATAGTAAAGCAAAGCTGATGAGTTTAATTTCCATATTAATTTAAACAGGAAGTCAACTGGACCTTTGCTAAGAGGTTAGAGAAATAATCTTAAACTTCATTAACAGTGAATATATTTGTTTACACACTTATTCTCTGCCTTAGAAGGAGGATACGACTTTGTTAGGTTCCCTTGTGTTGCGTAATTTGCCTCCGATATAAATGTCCTTACAATTTAAATACTTTGAATCTAGCTGAAGCATTACATACTAGAAAAACATTTATTTAGGGGAGGTCAATTGTATTCATAATAGAGATTAAGTTGGTTAATAACTCAATGATTAAACATCTCTATATACTTCCTTTAACAAATGTAAAGCTGAAATTATTAGCTCTTACGACAGAGCCGTTTCCTGAGATCTGGCACGAGGCCAAGGTATCTTCAGGGAGTGACTCAGCATTTTCTGCTGCTGCAAAGTACAACACCATGGCTAAACATCCAAATTTAAGCTAAAACCACGGAAATGTAAGTTATATTAACATCCTATTCAATTAGGCAAAGTAATGGGGTATCACTTGACTTTAACTCCAGAAAAAGCCCTCCAGAAGCACTCAACTAAACACTATAATGTAAGCAGATAAAGACAATTGTTATGAGTGTTTAAGGTAAAGTATTTGTCAGGAATTTCTCACCTATAAGATCCAACTCCACCGCATTAAACTCGAGTTTCAGCTCTTTGAACAAGTCTTTCACCTACAAGATAAAATACATTCATTTATTCAGTCACATGTTACAAATTCTCCCATTACACAAGAAAGCCATAACACAACATTCACTTAAGTGTCTTGACATACAAATACTCCAAATTCATCATTCAATTAGTAAACAAGCTTATTAAACCCCTTTATTCATGTCAATTGTTGGATAACATCGCTTGGTGTGTAAGTTATGAAAGCGAATGAAAGATATGAGCTGTAAGAAACCCAGATATTGGCACTTTTACTTAAGTAATCTATCCGAGTACTTCCTCCAACACTCTTTATTATGCCAGTTTGCAAACGTTTTACAATGAAATGCGAACAAACTGCTATCTTGATCAACTTGTATCAAAAATATTTCTTATTCAACCTCCAGCAAAGCGACTGTCTGTAGTAACGTGACAGGATGACCCAGCAATTAGACGGAGCCCTTTGTGGGCTGGTTATATCATCTACTCAAATATATTATTATTTTTTACAGCTTATTTAATTAAACAGATTCACTTTGTTCAGAATATAAACTTTTTTTTTTTAATATAGCATGGGTAAATGACAAACAACAAGAAACACAGATACTAGTACTTTAAGTATATGTTGATGCCAATACTTTTGGGCTTTTACTTGAGTAACATTTTGAATGTAGGACTTGTTCTGAGACTTGTGTAATGTGTTGTAATCTGAACTGCATTTAACCTCAGTAGCCGCAGTCTGTGGTAACGTGACAGGATGACGCAGCAATTAGACGGAGCCCATTCACTACTTCATGGCAGTAGATGGAAGTTTCCCAGCCAAGCAAGGCTAACTTAAATAGACTGAATAAACCGCTTACCGTCACACAATACGGGCAGTAGCTCTTACTGAAAACCATCACTTGGTTGGAGTCGATCAGCAGCTGAATCTGGGATTTCAGATCATTCTTCCCGGTGTCATTTTCGATGGGAGGCATTTTTCAAGGTGTTTCCGTCCGCCTGCACAGGGGCAAGCTTCGATAGACGGCTGGAGGAAAACGTTAAACCGAAGAAACAATCTTTTAATAAATCCACCAATGTGTCCCGGGACTTTTATCCAAGCGGAAATGTAAACAAACAAAAAAGTCGCCGGTTGTGACCTCCTCCGTTCCTGTCCAACTGCCGTCAGCCGCCTGTCTACACACCGCGCCAAACCGCTCTGAGCATTTCTTGCCGGTGCTGCTTTGGGAGCACTCGATTTGGGTCACCGTGTTCCCCGTCTGTTGCTTTGCTCGTCATTGTAAACAGGAAGAACTCCACCCACGCGGAGGAAGTCTTACAACAAAACGAACACTCCTATATAAACGTCACAGACTCGCCTATTTTTTTTTTTTTGTAGAGCTTTATTGGAAAAAGGCATGACATAAAAAGCTTTCAGATACTTAAAAGAAACAAATACAAATACTTTAAAGTAATCAAACAAAGTGAAGTGCATACAAGGTCTAGGGCTTTTTTTTTAAATAATATTTTTAAATTGTGATTAACAGTTTAATTGCATTTTTGTATTTCATTCATTTTAAAGGGCTTTAAATAGAGGAAGAAACTCATTGTGGAATACATCAAATGTAGGGAAAAGCAAAATGTTTATTAATTTATTTAATAAGACGCGTTTGTAGTGTACTAACATAAATAAATACGATGAAAACTAAAATAAGCAGCCATACAGGCGTCCTTCGAAGACAGCTAACCCTAAACTGAGATACAAATGAAGCAAAGAAGACAACACGTAATTTGATAATAATAATTAAGTGGTAGCTCTGAGCATTTCAGGTTTCTATTCCTACATTGTTGTGGGTTCATGTGCAATAATCAGGTATCTAGCGCCATCTATTGGTTAAACTAGCCAATGACAGTTAAAAACATCAATCCTAGTCAGAGCATGACACCTGAAAATTCCCTGTGTTTTTTTTTTTTTATATTTCTGTTGTCAATTATTGTCTTTTATTGTGATTGTTGTGTTTTTATTACATGTACAGCAGTTTGGGTCGACCAAAAATCGCTTTTAAATGTGCTATATAAATGAAACTTGATTTGATTGGAATCTGGTGCACTTGAGAGCAACATTAAGAGATGTATGGATACATCTCTCAACACATATGAAACAGAACTGTAAACAGATTTACTTTTTCTTTATGGATATTTTACAAATCACTCCCCTTTTAAACTGTATTCTTGT